TATATATATATATATATATATATATATATATAAGCATGGCAGCATTAATCGATATATACACGCGAAATTTAAAAATTAAAGTTTTTGGATGTTGTAACCATTTACTTACAAATTGTGTTTCTGTACTATCATTACAACATAGCAAGAGGTTGAATTTGTAGTTACAGACTCTTTTAATTTTCTTTTTTAACGTCTACCTAACATCTCGAAGTGATTTTAACTTTAGAGCCGAGTTACGTTGGTATGTAAGTTCTAATTTAAGGCATTTCCAGAAGATATTCTCTGTGCAGCAGTGGAAGATTGCATTTGCACCAGTTTGCCTGTTTAATTTTTTTGTTAAATCAAATACTAATTAACAAGGACTTCCAAGAAAACTTAAGAAATCTATTACAACAAAAATGTTCTTGGATAATATCCAAGAAAATTTTTATTCTAATGTCTCATCACCATCGTCAAGAACTTTTAGATTTGTTAAGAAATCTACCTGAATTTAAATTATTCCACTTTATTACAAGTACAGACGTTTTACGATATTTTTTTCAGTATCGCCACTAAATTATTTTCCTTGGATATTATTTATTATTGTATAGATAAACCAGCAATTTAATCTAGAATTTGAAATTTAACCGCGATTTGAGTTTCAGTTATGGCTGATGGCCGTTTCGCTTATTGCGCCGGGTATCCTTCTAATTTTATACTAACGTTTTAGAGGAACACAGCTTTATCTGACTGGCCTCATTACATACGATTATTAAAAACCAAAAATTCTGAACGAAGTCTAAATACGATTAAACTTAAAGCTACTGTGCTAACTAAGCAACTAATGATCACTGTTGTATCAGAATTCTGAGGTTCAAGAACACTGATACCATGCCATCGTTGAACACGAATGTCGTTTATCCGCCTGTACCCTTTCTCAGCGTGTTTTGACAGTAATATTTTTCTATCAAATACTGGGTCTTTCTAATGTTGCTTTCCAAGAGGTATTCCGACGAATATTATGTATTCATCCCTTGTCTGCCCAAAATAGTTACGTACCCAGCACATCGCACCCTCCTATGCTAACACATATTAAAAAAAATCTCTTAAATTGTTCGCCATCTTCATTCTTAATTTGAAATAATTTTCTGAATGATTCGATTCCGACTTTTACTTCAAAGTAAAAAGACCTTTTTCTCCTCACCAATACAGTTGACGAAATGATTTGTGTTTTGTCTCTCTGGGACCACAGGAGAATTGTGTTATTAGGCAAAATGCTGAAGAAAAATATAAAGAGAGAAATCTTGTTGTGAATTATATGTTTTCAATCTCAAGTGTTGGGGATTTCTCTTACGAGCCATTAGGGTGCTACACTGTTTGCATTATTAATAGTAGTTCCGGCCTTGTTGACTCGTTTGTATGACAGCGAAAGGGGCCTATGTTTTCAGTGTTTCTTGTACAGCGTCCCCCTCCTTTGGAATCGAATCATTTTGTCGCTGATTTGTCAACGAGGCGACAGCACCTAAATTTTTACTGCAGATGATGTAATGAGTGTAGTGCTATAGCAGCCGCGCCCAGGGTAAAAAATTTCCAACACTTGAGATTGTAAACACGATTTGCTATAAATTCTCTCTTTTTACATTTCTCCCTATTTTGCCAAATAACAGAGTTCTATGTTCCCACACTAATGGCATATATCTATTTATTCTGTTTGTCTACACCTAAAGCGTTATTCCAGACCACATTTTCCAATGAATGTGACACGTACCTGGAAGATCACTGGACTGAATTCAGTGGCAGCCATTATCAAAGTCATGTTATGAAATAGGATTATTTATATCTTTGTAATGTTTTAAAACGAATCCAATTTGAGGGTATACAAAATACATACAAATATTCCTTTGATAATGGCTGCCACTGAATTCAAACCATTGATTTTCTGGGTACGTATCACATTCATTGTAAACTGTGGTCCGATTTAAATCCTTTGGTGTAAACAATCAGCCTTTCACTAACTGAACGACACAATCGAGTAGTTAACACTGCTTCTTTGTATGTTTGAAGCCACGGGTTCTATTCTTCGCGCTGAGATGGGCTGTCCTGGTCGAGGTTTACCATAAACTTACTTTTCCCGACAGTATCTTGAATATTAGTTTACTTTAAAACGGGTTATGGCCGTTCCATCCAGTTCTTTTCATTTATTAATTTACGCCATTACAGAATAACTGAACAATGAAGAAACATTTATTTCCATTGATACACAATAAAACCATGTGTTGCGGTGTTGCGTCTGCGTGTATTTACAGGTACATATTAGTGAAGTTACATGCTCCTGTGAGCATAAACTCATTCAATTTAATCGTTAATTTAAATACTTTGATGGTAACAATTTGAAACGTTCCAGGACGTTCATCACTCCTACCGCCTGAACGCATTTAGTCCGAAGAATCGCTGGGAATTGATTTCAAACCGAGAAGGTTAATGTGGCAGGAACACCGCAGACGCAGGTTTAAGTCCATTCGGCTAGTACCTAGCCTTTCGAGACTGTAACTTTAATTGGTTCTCTCCTGTCTGAAGCAGGGTCTATTACCTTCACATAGGCTACCATCATCATCTTTCAGTAATTCTTTAATGATCGTAATTGAATCTGATTTGGCACAATATGGCGTCTGCAGCTGACGGCGCAAGAAATAATGTATCAGTATCAGCAGCTCTTTAAATCGATATATTCTGTTTAATTATCATTGTTGGTTGGTTAGTCATTTGCTGTTAAGGGATTTTGGGATTTATGTCATAGCAACGATGTTGAGGAAGTCTTACTATATAATTGTACTACAACACAGAACAGTCATTCATTATAACCTCGGCATAAGATCGTATATGAGATAGGGGAACATGAAATCGTGTTATATTATTTAATTAAGCGAAGATAAGTAATTATATAAATTACTTGTTACTCATTACTCAATAAATAAAACGCTGACCAGTCACCCCCATCTAGTGCCAAGGTTAAGAATGAGTAGGAACTATATTCTCCCCCCCCCAAGCGCCTACATGGCGTTAGTTGGACAGCTTTAATTTATTTTACTTTACACATTACTCAGTTTAAATATTTATATTTTCCGTTGTTGAAACAATGCACTGAAGCAAAAGACATAAGGAAACATTCAAGTTGGTGCTTTAAATAATGTATTGTGATTATTACCACCAAAACGCTACGGTTAAAATCTTGAAACAGTCAGTTTATTAGCGACACCATGTTTCGCTATTAGAATATCATCTTCAGGCCGACTTAATTATATAATACGCCAACTGCATATATAAAATTGAAATTAAATTTTATATTAAGATTAATATTAAATTTAAAATCGAATCGAATTCTGTAATTTATACGTAAGGTCCATTTAGTTCATAACATTTTTACAAAGTGGAAAACTTCGGTAAATATTTGTTTGGTGTTCACTGCCTGCTGAAATTGTTGAACCAATTCTATAGATGGGCTTCATGAAGGTATTTGTTTGGGGACTAGATGAAAATAGTTGAAGTGCGTAATATTTTGTTTCTCAGAGATAACTGTGGGCCGGAGTAGGGGAGTAGGGAATACATAAGCGTGATGTTGACGCAGATTTTGGCCAGACAGGGAATGCACGGATGTCATATGATTCTCATAGTAATGAGAGATTATATCCTTAAATAACGTTATTAAAATGTTTTCTTTGAGGTAAGAACTGAATTTTTAAATTAAATTTATACGAGCTTTTCCCTCTTCTAGTATCATTCTGTCTCTTTCTTGGGCTTCAAAGGGCGTGTTTCGAACGGATCGCATCGGACATACAGTTGTGTGCTATATGTGTCTGCATTATGGAGTAAATGTAGTGACCATTAACAGCATGTGTTGCGTGTAGCACTGCAAACCCTTGCACGGCTTGTGGTGTGGATTAATGAGTTGGAGGTATAATTACGGCCCAATGTGCTGGAACTAAAAAAAATCCTCTCGCAAACCTTTACAAATAAAGTTACTCATATTTTGCTGAACAGGGAATGCTCATTCATACATTGAAAATGTGTCTGGAGATTTTAATGCATTTTGGATGTAGCGCTAAGCATTATCGACATTTCCCAATGCTAAAGATGAGAAACTGGCAACATGTGCTGTGTACCAATATGCTCGTTCATATGTCTGTTATGGAGACATGATGCTCAGCTAAGTACGACGACTGTGGTGTTGAATTTCTGTTCAAATTACCATGTTTCTTGTTTAATTTCCGCCATTCTACACTTTTTATGTACTTTGTGTTGTAGTTTATTTAACGTTTTATAAAACTGTGTTGATTATTGCATAAAGTAATCAAATGGAAAGATGATCATGATCGACGAATTGGGAAGAAAGTTGAAATAATCGTGTCCTGTTTTAAGGTACTGTACCATTATTTTCTTGGGAGGAGGACTGAAGCAAAACAATAGAAATCCTTCGGATAACACGCCACTGGCCTGGAATCAAACTTGGGGTCGCTTGGGCAAGAAGTACAGTTGGAAAAAGCGCTGAGCCTTCTTTGCAATTCATTTCTAGTTCGTTGCAAAGTTTTATGCTTTAAGTTAAATATACACGGTTTTTATGTCAGATTTTGAATAAACTTAACTAAAAGCTGTATAATTGTACGGCAAGGAAATTACGTTGACTATTTACTTATTTTATGACTCTGTACCAAGCGGCGAGTTTGTGTAACACTGAATGATGTGATATGATTATGAATTAGTGTTGATTCACGATGAAATTCTTGTTTTCTACTTGAAAATATCCTAGAATTTATCTTAGATAACTGATGAGAATCACGAACACCTTGTTTAGGATATCCGGACATCGAACCGGGTTTACCAATTACAAATTGAGTACCATTTTAGCAGTTTCAGCCAGAAAGAAATAAGCTATTGTCGATGTTATCATAGTAGATTTTTTCCATTATTTGAATCCGTATATCTACAGACTTGGTGATGTCATATGAATGATGGTTTTGTTTCAGAACAACCTGCTACCATCTGGTGAGAAGACTGTGAAAGGCACTAGTATTACGATTGAACAGGCGAACAGACATCAGGCCGGGGTGTACCAGTGCACCGCCTCCAATGGGGTCGGAGAATCTGTCACTCAGAATATCACTCTGAACGTCCTCTGTAAGTGATAATTGTTTCCATTTGAAAAGTTGTTTATTGTTGAGATGCGTTTACTGAGTCGCTGTGTTTCTGTCGACTCCTTTGATCTGTCAAATGCATGCTGATCATGATGGTTTCGCTGACAGACTTCAGATCGAAGAACTAGTAAATAGACCTGAAACACCGATTTTCAAACGTTTTGGAAAGCCAGCATTCTCTTATGTTTGATGGCAAGCGCTGTTGTTTCACATTTATCACAAGTTTGGATAACATCAGAGTTCTTTAGTCTTGGATACGGAAATAAATAGGTAACAGAACGAAAATATTATGAATTTCACATTTTGGTGCCTTTAAAATCGTATACGATGATGCCAATATGTATTATTTGATCAGAATCTGAAATTTCAACATTAAACAGGTTTTTACATGATTTGCTTTCGTGTTTGTAGATGGAATTACCTTGATAATGAATCTAAACTTCATTGATTTTGACGGAACAGCCATACTTGAGAAACTAATAGTCGCTCAGTTAGTCAATAAATTCGCTTCTATGGAACTCAGAGATTTATTACCCTGTTTGAAAGAATCCCCTCCACACACACGCCTCTGCCATAAGCCTGTTGAAACCAGTCAACACTGTACACCCTCCTTCTTTCATATCCATTTTAATATTATATTATCACGGAAAGTCACGATCGAATGTTTAACAGTCCTGTATCGTATTCTGATTCAAATCTCTGCCCGGAGACAGGTTATCCTGACATGGTTTTCGTGATTTTCCTCAATACAACCAGGCAAAATGGTGCCTGCGACCGCTTCATTCCATGTAATTTCCAATTTAGTACTGACATTGTCATTCGACGCGGTTTGGTTTGAGTTAAAGCGTCGTTAAAACACTATAAATAGTATTATCTTCCCATTTATACCAAGGAGTATAGGCAGTAACAGTAATAGAAATATTTATATTACTGAATTGCGTATTCTGTGATCAATATCAGTCATTTGACTGGCTGAGCTGTACAGTATTACGGCCTGACGTATTCACTGCAGTTGTCGACAGTGACGTATCTTCTCTTATCTCAAGATTCCTTGGACTTTTCACCAAAATACTGAAAAATACCATTTTTAAAGTTTATTATTGCAGATTATATCAGTAACTCACAAGGCCGCGGAAAGAAACACAAATAAACATCGTGACCATTATTTTCTCCGTACTTTTATTCAGTTAGATTCTTGATACGTTCCTGATCTTTCTCTAATGTACAGCCAGATTCAGTCTGTATTCCGTTTTTGTCCGTTTCCTTCAGGTCGACCTACATCCGTTCGATTATCGTTATTTTATCCGATTCCAAAATTTTTGCGGTCATCATTTAAACATTATGGGAACTCAAGTTACCACATACCAACGGCGATATCTGTTATTGTTCGTTTGGTCTCGCGATAAAAAAGAATGATTTGTATAAGCACGTATCTTTAGTGATCCAGTGTTGCGTATTTTACGTACTGGTTACAAATGTAGACTTTGGATGGGAATTTCATAGCCACTCAACTTATACGTGGAAGATTTTCTTGCGATTAATGTTAATTAAGAAAATTGTAACCTATAGATTAACGAATGGAAAATAACAGGACACAAATCATGTGCATGTGAGACTTGAATACACGTTGCGGTAGTGGCAGTCTTGTGCTGGTTTTACCGGGTCCAGAAATACGTAGCGTTGTGCAGGTAAATGCATATTTCGTTCTGTTACCGCGTACATGGACAATCAATCATCGAAAATGTCGCATCGGAAATTAATCCATACCGAAACAACAATTGTAACGGGTCTTGTTGTTGTAGGGTGAATTCAGAATGATATGTGGTAGCCGATGACGTCTCCTATAGATCCCTGCTCAGAATATGTGGCAGCGAAATGAGTATTAAAATCAGTTGGCGTCGTACAGTTTATAGTTCTGAAGCGTTTTATCCCCCGTGTTTAAAACTTTTAACGGTTTGTCTGTAATCACATAAAAAATTAACATTTTAAACTAAGTTGGTGTTAAGTATCTTAAATTATGTCCTCTTGTATGTATGCCTGGCCATTATAACTTAAGTGCAGTTTTCGTTTCGAATCCAGCGTAGATTCTGATGCTACCTAACGGATTTCGATTAGGGTTGTCGACAAAGAGATTTTGTAGCGAAAGATTATTTTTATGGAAACGTCTGACGATTCAATAACCCATTTTATACAACACTCAAAAAAATCCTTATCGAGGTTTTCAAGAATGGACCATAAAAGAAAAAAATGTTTACACGCCATAAAATATGGACTTTACAAAATTTAAAAGATGTGTAAATATTTTCAATTTCTGAATTTTTAACGAAATAATAGGAATAATATAACAATATTTGTAGAACGATTATCTTTTCTACAAGATATTTGTATATGCAATAACTAACTAGATGGCTTACGGAACCCGAAGGTTCATCACCGAATCAACCAAAGCCCTCCACCTGGGCCAACAAAATCCAGTCTCCTTCAACTCCTATCTCCCATAGATCCCGCCTGACATTATCCTCCCATCTACGTCTAGGTCTTCCCAGTGATCTCTTCCCCTCAGGCTTCCCAACCAATAATCGGTGCACATCTCTTGTCCCATCCATGCGCCCTACATACCCAGCCCATCTCATTCTTCTCGACTTAATCACCCTGACAATACTGGGGGAGGAGTACAGATTTTTAAGTTCGTCATTATACAGTTTTCTGCGTACCCCATCGTCTTCTCCCCTAGGCCCAAATATCCTCCTCAACACCCGATTCTCAAACACGTGCAATCCGTGTTCCTCCCTCTGAGTGAGAGACCATGTTTCGCACCCATACAAAACAACAGGTAAGATTATTGTTTTGTATACTTTAATTTTCAGGTTCCTAGAAATCAGACGCGAAGACAAAATATTTTGAACTGAGAAGTAGCAAGCATTTCCAGAATCTAGTCTCCTCCTTACTTCTTCTTGATAACAAATCAAAATTATATTCATGGGGAAGTTGTATATGCAATAAATTAACATAAATACTAATTCGGTATGAAAAGTAACAAAGAACGAAATTTAAAATTATGTGTACGTAATTTATATGCATATTTCCATTAATTATTGCTTATATTAAATTTTTGTAGTTACGGAATTGTTGTATTTAAATAAAGCGTGTCTTTTATCTGCGTCCTTAGCGCTGTGTCGGGAAAATTAAGCTTTTACGATATTATTCTGTACATTTTACTCTTCCCGTGTTACAGACGAGATACAGCTTTGTATTTCGTAGATTAAACTCAGAACATAGTTACAAGAGGAAATGTTGAAAGGTTGTTGGAACAATTCTGATGAAAGATGGAAAACCATAAAAAGAAGGAAATCATTAACACGACAACATAAAACAGAACCGTAAATTGTGCTGTTAACACGTGTTATGCGGGTAGGGGATGTGAGAATAGAAGGGGTGAGTTCTGGGTGCGTAACTCAAACGTAAACAAGAACCGAACCTCCCGTGGGAGCTACCCCAAACCAAACGACAATGTACAAGGAAATTTTAATTTATCTCACACTACAGCCTTAACAGATTTTATGCTCTGTAATTCGTGGTATAATTTTTATTTTATCTTCTGTTTTTGCGAGTTCACAGGCGCTTGGAATTTAATTATTATATACATACATCTGCGAGATGTGAGCCTATAAACATAAAAATATAATTTGGAAACGTGAGCCGGAAAGTTATAATTATGTAGATGAAAACTAGAGCCTATAATTGAGGCATGTTTATCATGGCGTTTTATAATTCTGCTTTTATAATTAATGTTGTTTTAAATACGAAGTGTGTCAGTCTTGTTGTCATTCGACAAGAATTACAACTAGAATGAAGTTATGTGAAATAAATTCAGAATTTTGGTGGGAATAGTTTTTTGACTATGAAAAAGGAAGTGGATAGTAAGATTAAAATTGTCTTTTTGTGACATACGTTGTGAAGGGGAAAAGATTGATTTGAATTACTCTAGATCAAGATCCTATTCAATGACTGCTTATTTTCTATGAAGCATAACCGTGGAGTCATGTAGGCTGTTCATTTTATCGCGAGACCGAGCAGTGGTTCATTATGCGTTACAGAATACTTGTAAGTTTTGAGTACTTTCAATATATCCGTATGTTTAATTTCTGGATAATTCGTATGAGAAGATAATCGATCCTGGACATTTTGTTATTCATACCACACTATTGAGAAAACGTGACAGATTATTTTACTAGTCTCTTGTATTTATTAATCTTTTGGAACTGTAAATAAAACCCACCGTAATTTGTCATGAAACAAAGTAGAGTTTTATTAGCTGGTAAAATGGCATTTTATTGTGAGGTTAGCTCTGGTTATGATGGTAGCTAAATGTTTACGTGCAAATTACAAAAATTGAAGGAACTTTTTTTAAACTCGAAATAAAACATTAAAAGTAATAAACATTTAATAGCCTTGCGATGTACATAGGACTCAGTGATGTGAAACCAATTCACGTCACCTGTTAGGATTATCCACCATTTGCTGTTGAATAGTCGTGTTTGTGCGAGTGGGTGTAGGTGTTTAACCGCGTTTCGCAGCTAGGGGTGGTTTTTGTAAGCTCTGTACAACCAGCTTAATTACTTTTGCAACAAACCAGGAGAAATTACACATTGAAGCTCACTTCAGAATTTATAATTTGTTGGTGTTAGTTTAACCTTATTGCGTTTGACCTCACAACTACTTCTGGTTTTGTGTTAGAAGTGTTGAGAGAATTTCAGGCACAAATTAATTCGATAGTTACAATATATATTGTCAAGATAAAATGATCCAGGTACCGCAGAAGACTACGCAAGATGTCGGAACGCTCCAAGAAGGAGCAAACATTCTTTATTGCTATTTATCTGCGCATGATGTAGCAATAATATTAAAAACGAAGTTAACTACGTTTTGGGAGTTTGTTCTGCTCCCGTGTTGGATGAAACTGCTTATTCTATTGGGTTTGTT